GTAGTGGGGAGCATGCCCTGTTTGTTTCTAGTTCCTATAACTTAACTACAGAGATCTGCAAAGAAAGAGAGGTGGCCGAGACAGGGTGGAGAAATGCTCATCCCTGTATGTACAGAATTGCAACCAGATGTACAGCAGATTTTCGAGGTAGTGAATCCCATCTGATTTAATAGGGTTTTCTTGTGAATAGACAGGCTGAGGATTGTAATGCTCAAACTAGAATATGGAATTTGCCAATAGATCTTGTAGCCCTGCAATTATCTTACTGGAGTGTAGAGTGAAATGGTGGATTCATGGAGCTGGAGTTCATAAACTAATCTTGCAAGACCCTTGAACTTACTCAACAATGAAAGCCCTATTTTGCTTGAGTCAGTCATCTACAGAGAAAGCTGCCCACTGTGGTCTCTTTTCAATCAGACCCCACTGTGTAGGGGCTATCTGCATATATGCTTTCCTGATTTCTGCATATTTGGTAAAAATTGTAATATGAAAGTTTTATCTATCTTGGCTGCCCACTATTTTTCTGTATACATAGCTGCTCCTTCAGTCAAGGGACACACATCAAGATGAAGGAAGGGGTTTCCTCTAACATTTTATACTTTAAAAGCAAATATTTGGCATTTAGCTTGAAATGTGTCTCTAATTTTAATTTAGAACCACAGCATGCCTGTTATCAAACCGAGGCCCTGCTGGTCTTAGGTGGGTAGACAGAAGGCTTTAATTACATGTTTGTACTGTAGCCAGAGAAATTATGCTTGGACACTACAGCAACCTTGCTGAAACATATTCAAAAAGTTCAGAGAGACTGAAGGGAATGACAGCACCATGCACTTGGCTTTGTTTTCTAAGGCTGAGACTACACTGGGCCTTTTGAAGCCACCTGGTGCAATCTAAATAGGGTTGCCTGAAGTTGGGGGTAAGGAGTGATATGCCATTTAGTGTGATCCTTGAATTCAAATGGTATATGGACTTCAAGCGACTCTATTTAGCCTTGCTCCTTCTACTGTCAATTTCTGATATCATGAAGGGGCTTAACAAATGTACCACTTTGGGATATCTGCTGTTCTGCAGAGGGTTGGGGAAGAAAAATTATTATTATTGCCTCTGCTAGACCATTGCTAATGTGCTAAATCAATTAGATTAATTAAAAAAATGCTTCACCTTGTATAGTGCTGATTGAGAAACTGCCTGCAGCTGCAGTTTTGATCAGCATTTCACACAAGGCAAATATATAAATTAAATCTGTGTGATTCGGCACATCAGCAATATTCTAGCAGAGGGGGAAAATCTTTTCCTGCTCCTCTGCAGAGAAGTAGGGGAAGTGTTAAATTTGACAATATCCTGAAGTGGCTCACTTATTCAGCCAGGCATCACTTCCCAATGCCCCTATACCAGGGTCCCCAACCTCCGGTCTGTGGCCTGGTGCTGGTCCATGGGCTTCCTGGAGCTGGTCCGTGGAGATGGATTTCCACCACCCCCGCCTACACGGTGGGCACACTCACGTGACACGCCCCTCCACAAGTGTAACACGCCCACCCGCAAGTGCAGGGGTGCCCCCACCCCCCGTGCACAGAGCCCATACCTCCCAACCGGTCCATGGTCCCAAAAAGGTTGCTCTGAAAAACAAGAACACTCTTTGAGCCCATTTCTTTTGACTTCTTATGCTCCATGTTCAGTCTGTAGTTATAGCCAGACATAGTGCACTCTATCAGAATTTTATATAAAATATATAATTGTGACAATACATATACTTGGAAACTGCTTTTACCTTTTTTGTGCAGGTTAGAGTAAATACTAGGAGCCTAATATATTTTTTCTTTGATTTGCTCATAGCCCTGGTGGTTAATTTTGAGCAGCACTGGTCCTGATATGATGCTTTTAGGGTCTCTGTGTCCCTGTTTATTATAGTATTGCCTGCTTTTTCCTCCTCCTACACTCAGGCAAACCCGCCTGCTGTGCATGGGTCTAAAGATATCTCAGACTTGTTCTGTAGAGAACAAATTGCATAAGGAAGCAGACGTCTCTGTGTCCCTCATTATACTTCCTGGAATTTCCCCAAGTTTCTGGTAGATGCACCTTTGCATTGTATTTGCAGAAGGACTGCACGGGCCGGGAAGATGCTTGTTTTCTTCTAACACAGCTTCTTACTGGTCCCATCAAATCTTATAATATTGCAAGATCTGGAGATTCCATTTAGATAAGACACAGAAAAACAGACAAGTAAATGACAAAATATTAACTTCTTCAGTTAATGCTCTGCATTGAACTATTTTCACCATACGTACACTCTGGATTGCTTTACAATCTTAAATTTGAAGATAAATATTACACAATTGCTTCTCCTATCTTGTAAACATTCCTGTCATTATCATCACCATGTTAGAACTGCAGAGTGGGAAGGGACCCTATGGATCATGGAGTCCAGCTCCTATCGAGACGGCACCATGGGGAATCAAACTCCCAACCACAGAGTTCTCCAGCAATTTCTCCCATGAAATCAAGTTGGTCTTTTGCTGACACCAGTTCACCTTGTGAGTGTTTGATGCTGCAGATTTCAAATGTTTATTCATGTGCTTACTTGACAATATGTCCCATTGAAATGTGTCAAACATTAGAGAAGTGCTTGTTTTGAAATTGAATTATCCTATTGTCTTTTGTTTTAATTTTGTGATTTACTATTATCTCATTTGGGTATTGAATACAGCAAGACACCAGGCACAGTCAATCAAGATTATAAAAACATTGACGGGCATTATATAACAGATACAAACTTGAACTAAAAACCTAAGTATCTGTTAAATATTGGCACAGTATGCTGTTCCTAACATTGCCATTTTTGTAGTTCTGATGGTGTTATTTTTGAGATCTGCAACTGCTTATAATACTGGGTAAAATTTCTTCTTGTTCTTGTTAAATGTACTGTATGGGTGTTCTTCTGTAGGGTTTACTTCCAAGTAAATGTGCAAAGGATTATAGCCAAATCCATAAATGTGTTGTTGCCTGGGCAGTTATCTCCCATCCTTGGGCACTTGTTTCTTTATCGTTATAGACTGTGTGTTTCCTTCTCTATTTGATTGTAATTGTTGTCCCCCATGATAATTTTAAAAGTTTAGTCTAGTTTCTGAGATGTTTCACCCAACTTCTGAAAATGTAGGATCCACTTCTTTACTCCTCTTGGAGTTGCTTGATGCCTGGAAACAACAAAGCCCTTTGGCTCCTTAATGACTAATACATTTCTGATAGCATGAATTTATGAAGACTAAAACCAACATGGGTTAATCACTTTTAAGGTGCCACAGTCATTTCTTTTACTAAAAAAAACTAAACACAGCTATCTCTTTTAGAAATGTACAGACAGTTCCAGACAGAAGGCTCTTCACATTTGTCTGCAAGAGTGATCCCAGATAAGTCTTCAATCAGTCACATTATCACCCTGCTTACATTCACTAAATTTAACAGTCGCTTTAGGCAAGGCCATGCTCTGCTCAGAACCCTCTCTTGTTTTTTGATTGTTTCTTCAATTTTTTTTCAAATTCTGCAAATTTTTAAGAAGAATAAAAACAGAACTGTACATACATACAGTACTGTAGTGTCTTCCAGCTGCTTGCTTTCCATCCAGAAAAGCCAAAAAGGTACCAGTACTCTAAGACTGGAGGGTCATGCACTTACTTGTGAATGTAATACTTTTGAGTAGTTTCCAAAGGACAGACATACTGATCTGTTTTAGCACGCACATGCACACGGGCGGGGGGGGGGGGGAGAACTGTGGCAAATATATTTCACCATGACTTTCCAAGGGTTATAATCCACTAAGGAAATAGAATATAATCCACAAAACCTTGCTCTGAGATCCCTTATTCTTTAAGATGTCACAATCAATCATTTTTATTATATCTGAGTAAATTGTACAGGTGTTAAGATCATCAGGTGAGGCCTTTCTCTTCATCCCACCACCTTCACAAGTAGGTCTGATAGGGACACAGACTGCTCCCAGACTTTGGAACTTCCTCCCACAGGAGGCCAGGCTGGCCCCATCTTTGCCATCCTTTGGCAAGGACTTTTCTCTTCAGGCAAGCCTTACCTGAGTAACTAGTTATCTGTGTGTGATTTTTAAGGTGGATTGTTATGTTACTGCTTTGACTGGATTTCTAGTACTACTTGTGCTTTCTGCTTTTTTGGTTTCCATTTCCCAGAGTGGCATTGGTTTTTCTTTACTTTTTTTTAATATTGCCTTTTAATGATTTTAGGTGCCTCTTTACTCATTGTTCTTAATATTGAAAACAGTGAGTATACAACGATAGTTAACATCATTAAACTATCGTTGTATACTCACTGTTTTCTATTGTTAATATTATCTTTCACTGTTATAAGCCGCCTTGGGTCCTTCTCAAGGAGAAAGGCGAGGTAACAAATATTTTAAACGAGCACAGCCAGAGCCCCGCTGCCATCTTATAAAGGTCTGCTGAAAAGGAGGGCTGCATTCAATGAGAATTACACGCAGGTAGATGACTACTATACGGCTGCACCCTCAGACTCCTCCTGTTCCTGATTCACATCAACTACAGTATGTGCCCTGCGTCCTATGATGAAGCCGAGGAGTTTCCCCCCACTGCATTAAATGGCGCAGTGACGTTCCTTTTCTTTCCTTAGAGACTTCTGGCACACTTTTCTGTCCCCTGGGAAAAGCAATAGTCCGAAACGTCATTCAGCCTAGTGTCACACCGCCAAAAAAAAAAAAGAGAGACAGAAAACGCATGTCTGCAGCATTTAGATTGCCGCCGGGGCACCTCAGCTGCCTGCACCACTTCAGACACCCCCCAAAGCGTCGCTGCCAGGCCCGGCCAGGTTCGGCTTAACGGCAAATACCACCCAGTCAGGAGCCCCAAAGCGTCACTTCCTCCCACTGCGCATGTGCCACCCTCGTGCCCTACGGGTAGGCGCCTGCGTAGAAGGGAATGGGCGGCCGTCAAGCCTTTCTTTTCGGTCAAGCCCATTGCGAGGCGGCTCCTCCCCCGCTCCCTCCCTCCCCCGGCAGCGCGGCTGCTGCTACACCGGGTAGGTTTCTAGTCACTATGGCGGCGGCGGTGGCGGCGGTTCCTGCTGCTGGGAAGGTAAGAGTGAGTGGGAGGCAGGCAGGCAGGCAGGGAGGGGAGCTGTGGGCTTCGCCGTCCCTTCGTCGCCTTGCGCGGCTGGGGCTGGGGCTGGCGAGAAGGGGGGAACTCCTCGGGGCCCCGCCTGAGCGCCGGAGGCTGACGGGGAGCTTGTTTTGATTTTCGCAGGTCGAGGCAAAGTTTTCGCGGTTGGCGGACGCCTGAGAGGGAGACGCCGCTCGGGGAGGCGCCCGGCCGCCAGGCCTCTCTCTCCTTTGGCGGGAACGGGACGAAGCCTCGCATCGGCGAGCGAGAAGCGCCGCGCCTCAGGAGGGAGAGAGGGCTCCTGTCTCCCAGCCACCTGCAGCGGGACCGAGCGGAGGGCGCCGGGGCTTCCCTCGGCCTTGCTCGGGAGGTTGTCCCCCTTCCCGTCCCCTGCGGAGAGCATTCGGCCAGCCTGGGCGCCGATAGCCCCGCTGGACAGCCTTCCCTTCTCCCGGCCTCCCCCTTCCTCCTCCTCCTCCTCCTCCGCCGCCGCTTTCATTGATAAGTCATCGGCGTTGCTTGTTCGAGACCAGCGCTGGGGCAGCCGCCACACTTTCTGCTTTTCTCCGCCGTCCCCATCTGGCCGGCCGGCCGAGCCACCGACCGACCGACCCGCTGTCAGTTTCTCCTCCACTTGAGAAGAACAATTCCCCCCCCCCCACGGCTCCCGGCAGTGTGGGATGATTAGGATCCACTGAGCTTTTATGGAGAACAAAACTGGCATTTCCTTCACGATCCAGCTGGTGATTTAATTGCCTCTTTGCTAATTCTGGTCTGGGCCTGGTGGAGGAGGAGAGCCTGCTTCTTAGTTGGGTGCCCTCGCGTTCCTGCCTTTGCTTTAATAGGTGAAGAAGATGAAAGGTGGATTCACTCCTGGATGTGTTAAACTGTTTTTGCTGCCAAGGCTTCCTGGTTGTTCTGCAGTCCTGTAAATCTCAGCTGTTTCCCAGTCCCTCAGTCTTAACACTTTTTTTCTTGTGGAGGAAACTCTTGGGCAGTGTTTATTGAAGAGAATAGAGTGGTTACATCCCAAACAAGTATTTGTGTGTGAGTCACTCACTTGGAGTTACAGCCATCCCCACCTTAATCTAACAAGTTCTGTTTTCTTCTGACTTGTCAGATGCTTGTTCACATTACTGAGAAAAATGGATTAATGTGGAACATAACCAGTCTGCTGCAGGCCTTATTAAAGGAAACAATGGGGCTTTTTTACTGGATTATTGCCAGCATTAGTTCACACACTGAAGGTATAAGTTGTTAGATCTTGCTTGCAGGTGATGTTTGTCCTGCTTTAATGTGAAGTGCAGTGGGAATTTTGCTTATCAACTGTGGAGGGTGGCTTGGATCAAGAAGAGTTTCTCTTCTTCCCAGCTTGGTGTGGCACCACATATCTGTCCTCAATGCCTTCAGCTTTGGCTATCTTCACTTGCCGCCCAAACTCTCACCCATTTCAAGAACGTCATGTCTACCTGGATGAGCCTGTCAAAATTGGGCGCTCAGTGGCTCGATGTCGACCAGCTCAAAATAATGCTACCTTTGACTGCAAGGTCTTGTCTAGGAACCATGCACTTGTGTGGTTTGATCAGAAGACAGGAAAGGTAAGGCAATTTACACTTCCCAACAGCAATACAGTGTACTGGATGTTGTGTTATTTGTATCAGTGATTCGCCTGTTTCTGTCTTAATAACTTGGAACTGACAGACTTGGAGCTGACTTGATGTCCAACCAAATGCATTTGAAACAAGTTACATTTTTTAGTATCTCATCCAAGAGAATGGATTTAAAAAATAGTCCCGTTTATAGGACTTATTGTGACAAAATATGTTAACATAACTATATCCCAAATGATGTAGTTGCTCGGTATTGCTTTTACACCCTATTTTGTGATTTGGTGGAAATCCATTTTCACCTATGACACCAAAGCACTGGATGATAATTTTCTGAAAGTAGAATAGAATGTTTTGTAAAATAGAATGTTTTAGCAAACATTGAAACTATTTCTTGCTTGTCATGGTAAGGAATGCAGTATTCAAAGGAAGACATTTTTGAATATCCTGAAAGCAAAACATCTTAAGCTTTTCCTCAAAGCTGGTTTGTGCAATTGTTAACCCTTTGCCCTTTACAGAAATATAGTTACTTGCATTTAAAGGACTGTGCCTGTATTTGTTTAATTCTGTTTGTTTGACATTTAGGTAAAATCACAACACTCTTATAATTTTCAAAACAGGCTGCCACATAAATGTACAGTAGAGCACTTGTCCTAGTTTTACCTTAGTGTAGTATTGAACTGGGCATAAAAGATGAGACCCAGAGCATGTTATGTACATATATTTTCCATTGAAATCGTAAGTTAGTTATTTTAGCTTTTCATAATAATTTATTTAAATAGGACCAAATGGAGTACTTTAGTTTCAATTAAAGATAATATTAAATTAATGATAATAGTTAATTCCAAACGGAGTGAGAGACTGTATTTTCAATACTGCATAATGCAGTTTTTCAGAAGTGAGACAGAATTGGTGCCTATAGTATATGTCATTTAAGTCTATGTTGGGCCTTACCAGTAAGGACAGCTGTTTAAATATTAGAAGCTTTGCAGTACCCTTTTCTACCCAGTAGAGACTGAACTGGGACACTTGAACCAATTTTGTTTTTGCTATCTAAACTTTAAATTGCTTTTAGAAAAATAAAACGTTAGCCTAAGTAATAATTTCAGTAACAAAAACAATACACTATTGCGTTTACTCTTTGTAACAAATATTATCACTTTAGCATGCATTTCTATATACATTCTGTAAACATGTTTGATTCCGGGGAGGTGTGCTGATTATTAGTCAAATTATCACCTGACTGTTTAATTGTCACAGTGTGACGTTGGTATGATAAGAATGTTTATTCTTATTGTCTTACTTACTTATTGTGTAGTAACAACATGACGGAATAAGCTGAAAGCTGAATTTCATAAATTGTAACATAAATGTCGTATATCAAATGTCATTCTATATAAAGTATACTGTATATATAAGGGAAGGAGCATTAACAATTCCAAACTTTCTTTTATTATTATTATTAATAATAACTTGGGATAAGGTAAGGGATACAGAGGGTACGGGGGAAAACAATTTTAAACTTTCTTGCTTGTTCTCTTTAAATCTTTAGTAAGGTGGAAATCCATTTTGACTTTCTCCTTTACAATTCTAGGAGAAAGAAAGTTTAACTTTCTTTCTCCTAGAATTGTAAAGATCTGTTTTAATTGTCTGCAGAATTCTTTCTTTTTATCTTAAAAAACAAGCCTTTTGACAGAGTGAACTGAATTGGCCTAAAATATTTAATGTCCATTCTGCCTTGTGCCATGCCATTACAGTGCTTTTGGTCAGAATTTTTTCACATATCATTAAAAAAATGAGTTAATTGTTTATTATTTTATAACTTAGCTGCTAAATTATACCAATGTGGCAGGCCAATTACATGGTGGTAGAATTTAAAAACTGAGAGAGAACTTCCTTTTTGCATTTATTAGAATTTAGCTTTGGCAGTATACTTTCAAAAGAGGTTTATTTAGTTTTCATATATACTGTTGTATCTTTGAAAATTGTGGTGAGAATTTCTCATTACTTAATAAGGATACGTGCAGGATGATTATTGCAGTCTTGCAAGCTAATATTCAGTCTTCACTGTACGGGACCCGCTTACTCTTGAAACTAGTGGAGAAGTAGAATAAGAAAGCTGCAATATATGTGTATTTGCCAGAACACCATCTTGTAAAATGGAGCTGGTGGGTTGAGGGGTAAGCTGTTAATTGAGGTGGGAAACTCAAAACCATGAGACAGGCAAGAGGACATTGAGAGATTCTAGGTCTGTGTATGAGCAGAAGGGTGCTCAGATTGATAAGCACACCTGTGTTAGCAATGTTGCTATCAGACTGTGATGACCCCTTATCACCTGATCTCATAATCACTATTAGTATCTATAAGCCAGATAGGTAGGCTCATTGTAAGAGGAATCTGCTTTCAGTTAAGTTGCTGGAAGAAAGTCACATGTTTAGGAAATCTGTCTTCACAAGTTGAGTTGTCTTAATAGTAGTTAAAAGAATCACATAAGAATAAATGAATTCTGAGAAAACAAACAACTTTTCATTTGTATATGTGAGTCTTTTAAAATATTCTCTAGGTGGATTTTATTCTGATGTTTTCATGGGATTAGAATGGGCTGTATAAAGTGTACATTGTCTTGTCCAAAAGAGCTGATGGAGAATATAATGTTACCTGCCTTTCCATGACTCTTGATGCACTTCTGTTTAATTACTACATTGCCTATCAGACAATGTTAATTCTAACATAGATTGTAACACCTGTGTATATGTAGATGACCTGTCTAATCCTTAGTACAGTTATAGTAGTGATCCTCTAACGTCATTTGTTAACTAATAAAACATTACATTGCATATACCCATCTCAAATATTTAAGCACATTAAATTGACACCAGATCATTGATCAGTTTTATGTCAAAGTTGGTGAAGAGTAAATCTGTTTTTAATAGAAGACCATAATATGATGTGAACGTTTATCACTACACAATGGTTGGAAACCTGTTGAAGCAGCTCCACTCATGTAAGGCTGATGTAATCTTTAATTAAAAGTGTCCTATTCTCCCCACTCTGTCCCAAGGTTCTCAGGCTCCCTAGGGAATGTTTTGGGGGCTTTGGGATCTGGAGAGGAGCCTTTAAGGTCCAAAAATCAGTGCTACTGGTTGCAACTGATAACGTCATCAACCTTATGTGCACAGAGCTGCGCCAACAGCCATTGGTGCATTGGCTGGAATCCTAATACAGTAGTTATGTTTGCCAGTATAGCCCAGTCATAATCACAGCAACAAATTGCCGGAAGTTAAGATGTCAGTATAGGCATTTGCTATTGCCTGCTGAGTCACATGCATTATAGCAACAATAAATGCTGACTTAGTGGTTAAACTGCTGTACTGCAGCCAAAACTGTGCTCAAGACCCGGGGTTCGATCCCAGGTAGCCTGCTCAAGGTTGACTCAGCCTTCTATCCTTCCGAGGTTGGTAAAATGAGTACCCAGCTTGCTGGGGGGGGGGGCAATGTGTAGTCTGCATAATTAACTTGTAAACTGCCCAGAGAGTGCTTGAAGCACTATGGGGCGGTATATAAGCAGCACACTTTGCTTTTAACTTGTGGCAATTACTAGTTAGATTTACGCTAATGAGGTATTCTCATAATAAGATTCTAGCCAATAATTAAAAGTTGAAGAGTTCAGAATGTTCAGTGTTGAAAGAGACAAGGAACATGAAAAGGTATAAAATTAATTAATAGCACTCAAGAACTTCATAACCAATCAGTTTTTTAAAAGTCAGGCTAAGGCAGCCTGGGAAGAAAGCTTACTAGAATATTAATACTAAAGAAAGCATTGAAGAGGTTGTTGCCCACAATAAGTAAAGATAGGGTGCTGGAATACCTAGTTACTTTAAATGAATTCAGGTCTGCAGGACTGGATGACCAAGTACACTAAAGGAACTATAGATGTAATTTCAAAACTTCTGTCTGTATAATCTTTGAAAATTCATAGAGACCATATGAGATCCTGGAAGCAAACATGCCAACCTGATCTTAAAAACAGAGAAACAAAGAGGGCCTGGTATTGTTCAACATTTTTATAAACAACTTGACTGAGGGCATGGAGGGATGATCATCAAATTTGTAGGTGACACCAAACTGGGAAGGGCAAGTAATTCTTCAGAAGTAAAAATCAGGATTCAGAGTGACCCGAACAGATTAGCAAACGGGACTAAAACAAAATAAATTCCAACTAGAGAGAAATGTAAAAATGTACATTTAGGCAGGCAAAGTCAGTATATGTGTAAAGGAGCTAAAGGAGCTAAATATCAGTCAACGTTTTGATGCAACATCAAAAAAGGCAAAGACAATCCTAGGCTATAACAATAAAGTACTGTATAGTGTCTAGATGAAGGAAGTAATATGCTCACTCTTGTTTTCCTTTTGTCAAAACTTCCCTAAATACTGTGTCAAATTCCAGCTCTACAGACTAAGAAAGATATTGACAAGCTGGAAAATGTCCAGAGGAGAATAACCAGAATGGTAAAAGTTTGGAAACCAACCCCTATGAGGAATAATTGAGGAAGCTGGCTATTTTTAGCCTCAAGAAGAGACTGACTGAAAGGTGATATGATAGCCACCTTCTGAAGGTCTGACACATATAAGATATAACAAACTTGTTTTCTGTAGCTCCAGAGGGTAGGATCTAAATAATGGATTCAAATTATGAAAAAAGAGATTTCATCTAAACATTAGGAAGAACTATTTGACAGTAAGAGCTATTCAACAATGGAGTGGATTACTTTGGTGGGTGGTCCTTCATTTGAGGTTTTTAAGCAGAGGTTGGGTGGCTCCTTGTTAGGAATACGTTATCTGTGAATTTCCAGCCTTGGGAGGAAATTGGAATCAATGAGTCTTGGAATCTTTTCCATATCTATAATTTAATGATTTGATATGTTAATTACTGTATTGTTAAATGCTGAAAAGCTCAAAATGTGAAAGATGGAGCAAGCTTGTTTTCTGTG